ATTTTGGTTTTTTTTGAGTCCTCCGGCAGTGGCCTACGTAATTCGCTACTTACGGTATGTTTTCAATAAATAAACACCGAAATCACCAGCCCAAACAATAACACACACGATTGTCGTGACGTATTTTTGAAGTTGTTTATTTTTTTTAAATGACAGACCCAGGCATTAAAAACTTTATGGTTTGCTAGAGTAGTTACCGAAATAGCAATTAGTATTAGTTCTTTTACCTGTTATAACTTCGATATCCGATAAATCGGTATAAAATCATCACCGGCACCTCTAGGTGTGGTATGCGTCTACGGCTGCATGTATCGCGTGAGCGGATATGCTAACAGTTCTTCCGGAAAGTTATGGTTTATTTCGTAGTAAGACGCCAAAATACCAATAATCTTAAGATTGTTTATTGATTGATTCTGATGATTGAGATTGGTATTGGTGCTTCCGCATCTATATTTACGCCCGAAATTTACAAATTGATTTTCCGATAACCCGCTACGAGCAGCAAAGAAATATTACGGTTTCTGAGTCAGTGACTATCTCCCCCTATCGTTGGACCGATCACAGACTCCATTATACAAATCGAGTGAAACGAGACAAATCTAACCAATTTGCTACAATATATTTGAGATATTGGAACGTTTTGGTGATTCCCTGAAAGATAGCAAGATGAAAACTTGTATTAGGTTTTGTAATAATAATACCTTTGTTTAAAGCAGGTTACAAAATTATCAAGATATTTATTTTCCTTGATGACTATCATGATGATTTTTTGATAATGGTCCGGCTATAACAGCTAATTATCACTGCTGGTTCATAGTTGTCTCTTTATTTTTGGACTATAACATAAACATATGCAACACATGACATTTCTTCAAATTGAGTTAACCGTTTCATTTCTCTTGGTCAGCAAAATTCAGAATCTTTAAAAATAATCATTATTTAGAAAATATAAAATATTTGCAAAGATAATGGCTTTCATAATTTTGTAATTTCCTTAAACTACGTTCTTACTAAAAATGGTTCGATAATTTCAGAAATATGACGATCGGCTATATTCTTTATTCTTCAAATATGTCAACTTCCTTTTTGCAAGAGACTATTCATAAATTCTTTGCCTTTTACAACGCGGAGGGTTGACATATTTGAGTGCGGTATTGCGGACCTGACACAAGGATACCCTTTTTCATACTATTTTCTATGTCAGTATTATCGTGTAGTAACAAGTAAATTGCATTAATGTCAAACTCAAATAATCCTTATGTCATAGGTATGCAAATTATACTTGAAATCGTCATACTGAATAAACTCTACTGTTCATTCGTAAGGCAAATTTACCGGAGAAGAATGAGCAAGAAACTCTAGGGATTCTTTGTAAATATACATTTGAACACATATGTCATTACAATACTTAATTTAAACATCTAAACGAGTCAGTACCACGGATTTTTGTCATCCAAGTACGCAGAAGCTCTATAATAACCTTTAGGATAAAGTTTTTGTTTCATTATAGGTAGTTTTAAACCTCGTAAATGGCAAATTTTGAATACCAATCGGAATCTTATTTATAGAAGCGTGTATATTGCCCCTTAAATGAACTCTGTGACGACTTTGTGCAGACGACTGTCAATAATAGCTAGTTTATTTTTATTAGAACTTCTAATTTGGAAGTATTAATATTATGTATCAGTGGCGAGGTGTGGAAATACAAAACCTTCTTTTGCTGTTAAAAATTTGCATTTAAAAATAAACCGTATGCGCGTTGAAACAAGGTATCAATTTACGTGAGATCTATTCGATAGTAACCCGATGGCTTTCGGATTTTCGGCCGCCATTATTAGGTCTTATTTTAGTAATATGCATGTGTACTTTAATGTGCGCGCTTAGGTTTCATGAATGAAATAGAAGCCGGAATGTGACCAACTTGCGCGCTGTGATTGGCCGAGTTCCATCATATTCCGTATTATCACAGACAGGTTACTACGCGTTTATTATTGAATTAAGTGGTGGGGTATGCGCGCTGTCTAATACAGTCTTTCGATAATACGTGGAAAGTTTTAGGCAAGCTAGTCGGAGTCCAGTTATATGGACATCTCGCTACTAATACGTATTATAATAGTTATAATGGCACCTACAAGGGTACCGAGTAATAAAACCGAGTACGCGCATGTGAGTTCTTTATTAACGCAGAAAAATACTCTTGGATATTTACTGTAACGACGCAGATACGAACTTTCAAAGAGTGTCCCGAGTTAGGGCGCGTGTCCACCTTAGAAAAGTCGCCGGGTCTACGCAAGAATTCGTGTCGTTTATACACACGAACAGTGTACGCTGTCTCGGCGCCCGATAAGAAAAATATCTTGTCTACCCCGACTCGACGCGATCTGCCGCTATTGTATGGGGCGCATTGTCAGTAAATGAACGTTTATGCGCGTGAACTGGTGTTGCAAAGTACCATTGTTGCACCAATAATTTCATTCTTAGATAGATAGATAAAATACGTTTATTGACTTACCACAAGCACACACAAAAATATGAAACAACAAATAGCTAAAGAAAGAAAGATGACAAAAGAAAAAACTCAAAACAAAACATACAATATAACAAAAAGGAATGAAATCAAATAAATATACACAATAAACGACATATATCTACAATTAATTAAAAAGTAAGTTGTGAGTGCTGCAGCAAGCCAAACAGGCCATAGCTCAGTGCAGGTGTTGCCCAAAAGCGACGCACTGATTTTCAGCTATCGCCTAGTGGGTAACGCGAAGTGGTGTATCACAGCAAAAAGCAATGTAATGTGTAGGACGTGCAGTGAGTCTTAGTGTAGTTGTGTGTCATTCTTATAAGTTTAGTAGAGGAACGACCCGTATTTTGGGACAAAACCTTAGAGATTTATAAAGATAAACGACGTACTTTCGAGGCATGGAGAGAAATATTTATTATTGTTAAGGAAGATTTTCAAAAAAATTTTATTATAATTTTCAAAATTATTATTCGGTAGATACTTAGGTAGTTTAGGATTTATGCGTATTTATCTTGCCATAGTAATGCACCTATATCGGAGGAAAAATAATTAGTAGACTCGTTAATGCATTGACACGTTTACCCTATACACGTCTGCCTGAAAGCATTTGTATCATGTACATACTCATCATTTTCTTGTTTACAACAGATACGACATATTTTCGTGGCTAGATCCGACAAAGTTATTGGAACATTCTTTACATCCATTGATTGGTACGTCAATGTTTACATCCATTGAATTTTTTTTTTATAAAATACTAGTGCGCATGGAGGTGAACCTCCATCTCACCTGATGGAAAGTGACGATCATAACGCTTCGTGTGAATCTTTGGAATATCCACAACATAGAGGTGGAGCCCAAGCCTACGCCTAGTCCCCCGGTGATAGAAAGGGGAAGGCGGAATTAAATCGTGTAATTCCATCGCACACGCTCCGTGATATATCCTATAAAATACCGATAAGCAGGCAACTTTACGGCGGTGTTTAAGGCTCTGCAGCTTCGCCTCCACTAATTCCGAGTCACCTATGAGCCTCTTGGTACGGTTGTCAATTGAATCTATAGTGGCCAGTTGATATGTAGCAGAGCCATGTTAAAGGTGGCAACAGTACTCCATACACGACCGGACTTGTGCTTGATAGAGCTGAAGCAACTGTCCCGCTTTGAAGTAACGCGTCACCTTGGATGCCAAGTTCGCGCGAATATATTTAAATATTATAGTCAATTAGGACTATAATATCTAATCGCTATTTACTATTTAATCGCTGGTGAGCACGAACAAAAGTCGGTGGCGGTGTTTAAGGCTCTGCTGCTTCGCCTCCACTAATTCCGAGTCACCTATAAATCGCAATCTACACCACACAATCTACAACCGGAATTGCTCGGCCGTTTCCTAGTCCGATTTAGCACCTAGCAGGTGACCACCTAGCTCCTCAAGATTGTATCTTTCACTGTAACTTGGGTAAATCTCGTTGTACCAATGAGTTAAATGCTACGATTAGTAGAAAAGTTTGCTTTTAAAACCTGTGTAAGATCGTATACATTACTTAGTTACCATAAAAATGTCGGAAAGAGCAGTTAGTGACAGACGGTATAAAGTTGCTTCTGAATCCTGAAATGGTGACGTAATTTACTTTTTGAGCTCGGAAGAAGAAATTAGTTCTTTAAGTTCTGTAACATAGTGACGGTCTAAGTTTGCAACCTTCAGAAATTCATTTATGGATTCATTACGGGCTGATCAACATCATAAATTCAGGCTGAAAGCGTTCAATGCTAGAAGAAGTCCTCGCTCAAAGATCGCTGCAATGTCCGGTGTTGTGGTGCTCGCATCTCAAGGATTTTCGCATTTATCACCATGTCCATATTGTGAGAAGTCTGCCCACGGTACGTTTTTCAGTATGCGGTAGCCACTCGAGAATTTTTTGGCCTCATAGGCCATTTAAAAATAATAAAAAAATAAATTGCTCGTTTATCAAACGTAACGATTCGTTGGGGTAAACCCCATGCACTGTCACTTAAACTTAGCTGTTCTAAAATTCTACTCACCTGAAAATACAGCACAATCCTGCACATCGCGGTTCCAAAAAACCACGTCTCCGTCACGTCCCACAGCACCGTCGGCGGCAAACAAATGAGAATCACCATAAAATCAGCCAGAGCCAAATTCACTATAAAGTAATTAGTCACTGTCCTCATTGAATGATTTCTATACACTGCTATGCAGACTAATGCATTTCCTATAAGACCTATAATGAATACTACGGCATGAATGGCAATAAGTACCCATTCATAAGGTCGTGGGAATATGTAATCGTATAACATTTCCATATATTCCTCTTTTGTCATATTACAGTATTCAGACAAACCAACACAGGTGTAATTGTAATCAAATTCTGTGGTTGCATCGAGTTTATCCAGCTCTGTGTCATTATTAATTTTCATGCTTATGTCTTCCTCGGTTATTTTCTGTTTTTCTTCTGTTTTATTTTGAATAGATCTTTTTACAATATTAATATCTACAGTTTTATCTTCTTCATACATTGTATTATATACAGGACTATCTACATAGGAATTATATATTGTTACATTATTAAACGATAGTTCATTAATAGATAAACAGAAGTGACAGGCTAGAATCATGGTAAGACTTTTAACTAAAACGACGGCCATATTGATTTTTTAAATTGTCATTTTTTGTTGGTCGAATTTTTACATTTGCTTTTTGTCATTTTTCGGTTCTCAGTTTCAGTCGATGTCCAGGCATCTGTAAAGAAGGAAAATAGGAATTAGTAAGGAATTAAATAGGCTATATTTTAACCATAACTGGAAAAAAGATGTTTGAATGCTTTGGCTTGGAGATCGCAGTAAAAGTACATTACTACATTATTTATTATTACATTATTATCTACATTAGTTTTGATTATAGTGACCCTACCGACCCTTAGGGTGTACGAGAAGGGAACTATAACCTGTGCGTGCACAGGAACCTTCTAAGTTCAGGTTTTGACCCATATCAGTGTACAGGCTTGTCACAGACCGTTTTCACTGATAGATAGTAGAAGTACAGTCGCCAGACCATTTCACCTCTAATTGGTTTTGACGAAGCGAAACGTTGGCTGAGTCAGTGACTCTTCAAAGTTGACTTTTAGTCGAATTTAGAACTTTCTCTAAAGGAAGTCGGTTAGTACATAAATACCATGGAAATAAAACAACGTGATATTCAACAAATTTAATATAACATTCCTGAATTTCAGAAATTGAAACAGTCCTTGGGTTACGAAGTGTAAAGAATTTGACATTTAGAAATTTAAATTCAGAATATCGTTAATTCGTAGGTAAGCAAATAACACTTGACATCGTCGAATTAATTAATCACAGGTACTCAATCGTAAAATAGATTCCCCTGAGAAGAATAAATAAAATTACGTAGTACACGTTAAAGATCAGATTAGCTTAAAAGGTTTCTAAAAACATAATTCACTAATGTTATTAGTGCAATAAGGAAGTCATTCGAAAATAAACTTTACGGCGCACAGGGGACGTGAGATTTTTTTTATGTAAAGAAGGAGCAAACGAAGAGCCAATTGATGGTATGTGGTCATCGTCGCCCATGGACATTTGCGACATCAGATGAGCTGCCTATGCGTTGCCAGCCTTTGAGAGCCCTGTAAACAAGCTTTTTGAAGAACCCCATGTCATAGCGCAAAGACCAACTTCAGGAGGAAAATCATTTCGTATCTTGCAGGTTCGAGGAAGGAACGAAGGAGATGCCCGCGTGGTCTTACAATATCAGATATCTAAGATGTTAGGGATGGACTCTACTCCTTTGGCGGGAGGTGCGATGGTGGAAACGAGACGGTGGCATAGTTCATAACGTTCCTTAGAGCACTCCCCATTATAAAGACTTTTTTACTTTTCTTTACGATTATCTACCTATCCGCTCACGCGATTCATGCGTCTCTGGAAGCATACCACACCTAGAGGTGCCGGTGATGATTTTATACCGATTTATCGGATATCGAAGTTATTTCGTTAACTACTCTAGCAAACCATAAAGTTTTTAATGTCTGGGTCTGTCATTTAAAAAAAATAAACAACTTCAAAAATACGTCACGACAATCGTGTGTGTTATTGTTTGGGCTGGTGATTTCGGTGTTTATTTATTGAAAACAAACCGTAAGTTGTGTTTTTTAAGTTTACCCTGAATATAAATGTTTATAAACTATACTTTAAGGAGCAATTTCATAGTAAACATTAGAACCACTCAAACGGAATATTATCATATTTACCCAAGTACACCAAAAATTTCATTATTGCTTTTTAAGCGCAGGATTTGCGATGTATTACTGCATTTTATTTGAGATGTTTTTGTTGTAGTACGGAGGGTATTTATTTAGCAATGCAGAATAATAATTTTTATTTTTAAAAACTGTATTTAAACTGAATCCTTTTCTAATTTGCGAAACCAAATAGAAGCCATTTTGCGGTAGGATGAGCGCATCGCATGAGCGGTTAGAAACAAATGGTCGCTTTGGCGGTCAAGTGTCATAGAGTATCGACTGTACATAACAGTATGGAGGAGCTTAACGGGTCAAATCACACGGAAGGTTTTGTAGCAGTAGAGCTTCTTGTGAAAGAGTTCGTCCTGGGAAGTACTGTCACTTCACCTATTTCTAACGTCAAGCAGTAATGTGAGCATTACTGCGATTCGGTTTTGAAGGGTAAGAGTGCTGGTGAAATTACAGGCACATGAGACTTATTAACTTATGTCTAAAGGTGACAGTGCAGTGCCTCTCAGAGCTTTGCGATTTAAAACTCTGAGTGGTACTGTAACTGTCATGGACAGGCGTGTCGCTTACCATCAGGCGCACGACTTGTTCATCCTGTTGAATTGGTATTATAAAAAAGTGCTGCTCGATACGGTATGCATTGTTCGCCAGTTCTTGAACCTGAGTCCCTGATCCCAGCTGACTGTGCCATTGCTGGGGAATACTGCCTTTCCCGTTTAAAAATTCAAATTGACATTTCCGAATTCTTTTTTGTTGGAAAAGGGAACCTCCATAGTGGTCCTATTCAAATTTGAAGAAAATATTTCACCTGTAACGGTGAGGGTGGCATATTAGGGGAATCTTTTTAATTCGATTTCACTTTTGAGTCAGTTTTTTTTAATAAAAATGTTATAATTAATGCTTTTCGTATTAATATGTCTGTCACAATTTTCCATAGTAATAATATTACATTCCAAAGTCAAGGAATCATTTATTCCATAGGTAAAATAAATGTACATATGAAAAAGTCACATTTAAGCTAATTTTCGTTCACTACGCTGACTTCCCTGAGAAGAACGCACAAGAAACTCTAGAGATTGTTCTTTTCAAAACTAAAACGAAATGGAATATATATATAACTTTGAATCAAATTTGTGAGGAATCTAGAGCCATGTCGTCTTTCCATACATCTTTATCTAACACGTAGTCTACAATTTTGTAATATAAATTACGTTTTCAGAAAAAATATAGTAACGCCAGTTAAAATGTTAAGTCACCCCAATGCACGGCGTTCTTTTGTTATGGTTATAGAATGAAGAATACAAAATTTTAAAATTAGCATATTATTTTCAACCTAAAGAAATTTAGTTTTAGGTACACTTTACACAAAGCAAACATTATGTAATAAGATACAGGTATACCTACCACACGTTAAGCTATTCAAGCCCTCGTTATTTTTAATTGCTGAACTAATTAACGTAAGGTTAAAGTTCCAACAAAGAATTTTGTCACATTGTGTATTAGGCTGGGGTGCAAGGTACTTTTAAATCTAAATTTAAACAACTGAACCGAAGTTTTTCAATCATATCTAAAAACCGTCTCGAATGATCTTTAAATACAAAAAAAAGTTTTAAAGTCAGTCTATCCGTTTGGACCTACAATGCAACAAATAGACGTACCGACGCAGACAAAGATTTCTTAAAAAAAATATATGACAGGATTTTTGTTTTTTAAATTAACCTATTATATTCAAATTCCAATTCAAATATCTTTATTTCGGAATATTCATCCATAGAGGTGTGACGGTGTGATCTCCTTACACCGTCATCTCATCTCTTTGTATCGCTTCTCTCCGCTTGTATCCTATCATTTTTTATTTTACATGTATTTAAATTTTAAATTTGAATTGTTCCATCTTCCTTCACTTTCTCATTTTGTTTTCGTCACGGTCACTTCCAGCTCGACCGCTACAACAGTCCGAGCTGTTCCAAATTCCATCGCGAATAATCGCTAATTTTGGTTCTTTACTACGTTTATAATCATTTCATAAGCTAAATCATGTGTAATAATTTATAAGTCTACAGCTTTCGTGTACCTACATCTGTAATTCAGTTACTCGGCCCATTTAGGGGTAAGTGCCTTAATAATAAAGTATAGGGAGTGTTTTATACTGTTATACCTGTTTTTTTACATTTACCTTTTTATTGTTACAGCCCTTTCTTTAAACTTTACTTCTTTAATAAATTTTGTGGCCCGGAAGTTTCCATTTCATTGCCGTGAACCTGTTCACGGCTAGTTAGGGTTACAACCCTCTCAGACGTTAGTAACAAAGTACTTAAAAATATAGTTACCCAGGACGCTGTTGTCGCTGCCACGAACTTCAAGTACTAGGGAAGCTGCTCTTTTTCGTATAATAGCTGCAAAGCCGTCTACTTTAGCTATGGCGAAACTTACTGCAAAATCGTGACAGCTACGTTAAGTCCCACTGCTGGGCTAAAGTCTCCCCAAAATCCTCCACCACTCCCTTTTAAACCCATAAAGATCGTCCATCCTCGGGCACCTAAGGAGTGACGACGTTCACCCACTTCCCGGGTTGCGTTCAGCTAACGTGATCCACCCAATCTCATTTGAAGTGTTAACTCACCGATATGTGCATCCTGCCCATCCAAATCTGCGGTGAAATTGTCGTTGACCGAGTTCCAGAAGTCTAAACTCAAGATCTGAAAGAGGGCGATGGAATGCAGCATTCTGGGCTTTTAAACGTATTTATTGACCGAGTTCGCAATACAATATTGCGTTCGATGACGAAATGATGAAATGTTTACGATTTCTTAATTACAACAGTCCCTACAAGCAAGCCTGAACTATATCACCGCTTTTTGTGTCGGGGGTTAAAAATAAAAGCCTGTTTAATAAACCTCGTAACATTTTCACGAATTAACTATTCTGGACGGAAAAAAATATTACTTCCTTTATGTCAGGTCGTCAGTCAACGTGGCGTGACGCATAATCACATACCAGCTTATCTATAACGCGGCAAAAAAAACTAACACGTGAACTAGCGTTCATATATCACACAGACGCCAGTGATATCATTTATGTATAAAATAAGATTGTAGTGTTGCAAAACTAAAATATAGTTGCAGTAAATCAGATGTACTCAACATTTTTTCCGGGAAAAGAATGATCTAAGTCAATAAAGCAGAATTTTAGGAAAAACTATTTGTGGAAAAGACACGCATAAAATGTTGCTGAATAAAGCTATCATCATCATCAACCCGTTTATACGTCCCACTGTTGCGCACGGGTCTCCTCACAGGCGAGGGTTTAGGCCATAGTCCTCCACGCTAACCCAATGCGGTTTGCGGACTTGACCTGTTTATCGAGTATCGAAAACCTTCTTCGACGTGCAGGTTTCATCAGATTGTTTTCCTTCACCGAATAGCTCATGGTAAATATATAGATAGCTTCAGAGGTGCGAGCTCAGAATCGAACC